ATGTCATCGAGATCAGTCGAAACAAGTTTTTTATTTTCATCGCCTGACCAGGTCATATTGTTGACCAATTTGTCAAAATTTCGAAGTGTATGAACAGCACATAACAGTATATCTACATTTGGTATTTTGTCAGAAAATATATGTAAAGAGGATAATTCTACAAATGATTTGTCTACTATAATTGATTTTGTATCCTGGGTACACTGGGGGTTGTGTTTGAAAAAAGTCAGAATAGCTTGTGTAACATTTTTAACATTTTCGTGAGAAATGAGGGACCATGCCAGCATTCGTCCACGCAAAGTGTTGTCAATGCCAAGCCAAATATATAAAACATACCCCGAATTGCTTAAGCGATACGTACCATCTAAAAGCAGAACACTGCTAAATAAACTTGCGGATTCCTGCATTTGTCTGGACTGAAAAAATACGTGCTGAAGCTCGTTAGAGTTTTGATCAACATGATAATCAATAATGGCTCCTTGTTTTCTTTGTTTTTCTAAAACAGTTATAACCCTTTGAGCCTCGGAAACCCCACTGACTGATTTAGACTTTGAAATATAATTGCGAATGTCTTTTGATGTTATGAAAGATTGTTCCCCTTTCTCCGCAGCTCTTTTACGAAGAGTGTGGGCGATTTTTTTACTTGGAACCCCTAGCGAATCAATGGAATCTATAAATCCCTTTTGGGTATTATCCAGTCGTCTTAATTCTGGAATATGACCAGCTGTCTCCTCGTTAATTGTGTGTGCGATGCCGTCCTTGTCTGTGTGGTCAAAGGATGAATGAACAATTCTAAGTTTTGAGGTTAGTTTGTTATACCTAATGCAAATTCGAGAATTACATTGCAGGGCACCGTAATATTTTTGATGCGATCTATATAAGATCTTAGACCGCATTCGTATGCCAAATTTGCATCTAAGTTCTACATGACTGTATATACAAGGACTATCGAACATGAGCTTGTCACCTCTGTGTATTGAATAAATTATACCAAACGATTTCAGTGTTTCCAAGCACGCTTTTATTTCTTCCCAAGCAGAAAATTCTGTACCCCTTGATAACTTTTCTTCGATCTCACCTCTATTAGTCATTGTTTACAGCTTTGCGGCTATACTCTCCAGTAAAATGAACTTATTAATTATGAACAAATACGTAATCCTTTTATTAATATAACAAATCTGTTTTTATAGTGTACTTACATGAAATGATTGGCATACTAAAATGAATGTACAATGTTTGAATAAATTCGCTGATAATATAGCAAACCTGTTTTACAGAGTAATACTTTTGTAATTCAAACCTGCTTAATCTTACAAACCTTTTTTCGGTATAAACAAATTTAAAGAGTAATCCTTTGAGTAATATAACAAACCAGTTTTTAGAGTGTGCTTAATTTACAAACCTGTTTTCGGTGTGTAAATAATCAGAGAGTAATCCTTCAAATAAAATGAAATGGTTGGTATGGCAAAATAATCCTTCGAATAAAATGAAATGCTTGGTTTTGAACTTGGTATGCTAAATAATCAGAGAGTAATCCTTCGAATAAAATGAAATGGTTGGTATGGCAAAATAATCCTTCGAATAAAATAAAATGGTTGGTTTTGAACTTGGTATGCTAAAGTGAAATGGTTGGTATGGCAAAATAATCGTTCTAATAAAATGAAATGGTTGGTATCCTAAAATCAATTCACGGTGTAACAAACCCCGTTTTAGAGTGTGTATCAATGAAATGAATGCTACGCTAAAACGCACGGTGTTAGAACAAATTCAAAGAGTAATCCTTTGAATAATATAACAAACCAGTTTTTAGAGTGTGCTTAAATAAAATGAATGTTATGCTAAAATAAACACACAGTATTAGAACCAATTCAAAGAGAAATCCTTTTAATAATTTTAGACCTTTTCTTAATTAACAAACCTGTTTTCGGTGTATAAAAAATCAGAGAGTAATCCTTCGAATAAAATGAAATGGTTGGTATGCCAAATAAATCTTTCGAATACAATGAAATACTTGGTTTTAAACTTGGTATGTTAAATAATCAGAGAGTAATCCTTCGAATAAAATGAAATGGTTGGTATGCCAAATAAATCTTTCGAATACAATGAAATACTTGGTTTTAAACTTGGTATGTTAAATAATCAGAGAATAATCCTTCGAATAAAATGAAATGCTTGGTATGGCAAAATAATCCTTCGAAAAAAATGAAATGCTTGGTATGGCAAAATAATCCTTCGAATAAAATGAAATGGTTGGTATGCTAAAATAAATTCACGGTGTAACAACCCCGTTTTAGAGTGTGCTTCAATGAAATGAATGCTATGCTAAAATGAACAAATTCAAAGAGTAATCCTTTGAATAATTTAACAACCCCGTTTCACAGAGTAACCCTTTATTAATTTTACAGACCAGTTTTTAGAGTGTGCTTAAATGAAATGATTTATAATATGCTTAAATGAATTCACAGTTTTTGAACAAATTCACAGAGAAACCATTTTATTAATTGTACAGACCTTTGCTTAATCTTACAAACCGTTGAATAATATAACAAAAATGAATTTGCAAGTTTTAACTAGTTTAAAGAGAAATCCTTCGATTAATCTTACAAACCAATTACTTAGATGAAATGATTGGAAGCCAATGCTAAAATTAATTTACTATGTATGAACGAATTCTAAGAGTAAAGCTAATCCTTTCGTTAACCAAAAAACCCTGCTCTTCAAGTGATTTAGAAGAAGTGATTGAAATTTAAATTAACTCGATCTAAAGTTTTACTCTAATGACGTCATGAATCTATGACAACACTGAAGCATTCTGACTATTGACCAATAAAAAATATGTTTCACAGATTGCAATAAACAACTGTTTCCATGGACATTAAAATGACGTCAAGGAAACGTGACCAACAATGACGTCCGTTATCACTCGGCAAACCTCGGCAGATTCCGGTATCCTGCATCTAGCTAGATGTAGGGTAATGGAATCTGCTTAGGTTTGCGAGCCAGGTGTAGGGTACTGGAAACCGCTAACAGGAAGTGGCCAACTTGAGATATTATTAATACTATTACAATCGGCACGTTTCATTAAAATCTGTTGGTAATTGTGGTCTGTAGCCGTGCCACATGAAATGTGTGGTAACCTGATATCTCGGAAATTTTGGCTAGTTTGAGATATTATTATTGTTATTATAATCTGTAAGTTTCATTGAAATCGGTTGATAATTATGGTCTGTAGCCGTGCCACATGAAATGTGTGGTAACCTGATATCTCGGAAACCGCTAACCGGAAGTGGCCGAAATTTTGGCTAGTTTGAGATATTATTATTGTTATTATAATCTGTAAGTTTCATTGCAATCGGTACATAATTGTGGTCTGTAGCCGTGCCACAGGAAATGTTTGGTAACCTAATATCTCGGAAACCGCTAACCGGAAGTGGCCGAAATTTTGGCTAGTTTGAGATATTAATACTCTTATTATAATCTGTAAGTTTCATTGAAATCGGTATATAAATGTGGTCTGTAGCCGTGCCACATGAAATTTTGACTAGTTTGAGATATTAATACTCTTATTGTAATCTGTAAGTTTCATTGAAATCGGTTGATAATTATGGTCTGTAGCCGTGCCACATGAAATGTGTGGTAACCTGATATCTCGGAAACCGCTAACCGGAAGTGGCCGAAATTTTGGCTAATTTGAGCTCTTAATACTCTTATTATAATCTGTAAGTTTCATTGAAATCGGTTGATAATTTTGGTCTGTAGCCGTGCCACATGAAATGTGTGGTAACCTGATATCTCCGAAACCGCTAACCGGAAGTGGCCGAAATTTTGGCTAGTTTGAGATATTATTAACGTCATTATAATCTTTAAGTTTCATTGAAATCGGTTGATAATTGTGGTCTGTAGCCGTGCCACATGAAATGTGTGGTAACCTGATATCTTGGAAACCGCTAACCGGAAGTGGCCGAAATTTTGGCTAGTTTGAGATATTATTAATGTTATTATAATCTGTGGTAACCTGATATCTCCGAAACCGCTAACCGGAAGTGGCCGAAATTTTGGCTAGTTTGAGATATTATTAATGTTATTATAATCTGCAAGTTTCATTGAAATCGGTTGATAATTGTGGTCTGTAGCCGTGCCACATGAAATGTGTGGTAACCTGATATCTCGGAAACCGCTAACCGGAAGTGGCCGAAATTTTGGCTATTTTGAGATGTTATTAATGTTATTATAATCTGTAAGTTTCATTGAAATCGGTTGATAATTGTGGTCTGTAGCCGTGCCACATGAATTGTGTGGTAACCTGATATCTCCGAAACCGCTAACCGGAAGTGGCCGAAATTTTGGCTATGCTGAGATATTATTAATGTTATTATAATCTGTAAGTTTCATTGAAATCGGTTGATAATTGTGGTCTGTAGCCGTGCCACATGAATTGTGTGGTAGCCTGATATCTCCGAAACCGCTAACCGGAAGTGGCCGAAATTTTGGCTAGTTTGAGATATTACTAATGTTATAATAATCTGTAAGTTTCATTAAAATCAGTTGATAATTGTGGTCTGTAGCCGTGCCACATGAAATGTGTGGTAACCTGATATCTCGGAAACCGCTAACCGGAAGTGGCCGAAATTTTGGCTAGTTTGAGATATCATTAATGTTATTATAAGCTGTACGTTTCATTGAAATCGGTTGATAATTGTGGTCTGTAGCCGTGCCACATAAAATGTGTGGTAACCTGATATCTCGGAAACCGCTAACCGGAAGTGGCCGAAATTTTGGCTATTTTGAGGTATTATTAATGTTATTATAATCTGTAAGTTTCATTGAAATCGGTTAATAATTGTGGTCTGTAGCCGCAGGGCTATTTTGACATTCTTGCTTACCACATGTGGCAATTTCTTAAATAACTGATTGTGTGTCTTGCCAATAATCTCTCGGCAAAAATGTAAACATATTAGGTCTTACTTTATTTTCATGCTTTTGAAACATTTTTTCTTCAGGTAAACCAAAGTCTACTTCTGCAACAAGTAGGCTTACATGTACTATTACTAGTAAATGTGCCTATGAGTCAACACCTCAAATTCAATATGTGAGAAGTGCCTATTTAAAGAGGGAAAAATTAAGAAAATGAACAGAAGAAAAAACTGTTGTAGATCCAGTAAGTTATTAAAAAAAAATTTAAATTAATAAATAAAATCCTAATGGTCAAACATACATTTAATCAATTAAGAAAATGTACAGAAGTTATTATAAAAAAAAAATTTAAATTAATAAACAAAATCCTAATCATGGTCAAACCTACATTTAATCAATTCTTTTGATTTCTGAGTTTGATATATAAAATGCGAATGTATCATCACCCAAAGAATTACATATTGTATACATGTGCAGAAGGCTACTAGCGTTTATAGGATTAGTTATATATAAAAATCCTAGATTAGCTGTAAGAAAATGAAAGTTTTCTACATAGATGTATTGGAAATCAGGGTATGCTCAATGCAATTAGGTAAATGTAAAGATGTTGATAATGTGTTATCTCAGATATTATTCATAACTGTCTGTGTTTCATTGTAAGGTAATTTTCCTATTTATTACTTGTAGGACCTTTACCCGTCTCTGTAGCTTTCATTGGGACTATATAAACCAAACTTAGCCACTGCGTGTCACTTGAATATTATAAAACATTAATATATACCAATATATACTGACTTTAAATTTAATTTTCAGGAACAGAGTAAGCCATTACCATTACCCCCAGTTTCAAAACTCCTCAGTGATCCACCCAAAAGCAGTCCATTCTCCAGCCCTGTAGCCAGTCATTCATCTCCTTTGTGGCAGCCCACTTTTGAAACATCTTCAGATTCAGAGTTTGTTGAGTCCGAAAGAGAAATTTTTTCTGACCCGACAGAGAAGAGTAAGGTTAGTATTAGGATTTTATTACAATTTTATACCCATTTTAGGCAGCATACACCAAATGAAAAGCAGGGTCTTCAGACGGGGGATGCTGAAGCCCCTGTCCATCTCAACCCCTTTAAAAAGCATGTGTAAATATGTGTCTATTAGTGTAAAAATTGACCTTTGGCCCAGCTCCAGTGACATTATTTTGGCTTCACTGCGCGGACATTACCCCCCCCCCCCCACAATATGAATTTCATTCCGAAAGGTGTGAAAATATAATTACAGGAATAGAACACTAGTAGGTGGATTATAAATATTTTGGCTTTATCATGTCAGCATATTCCTCAATAAATTTCATAATATTAAACATATATTTACAGGTGATGGAACTTTTTAAGAGATGTCAACTCTGTGGTGAAGGAATTATAAGAGCAGTTCCATTCTATAAAGGCGCCCAGATAGTGGTAGGCTGGCAATGTGTCAAGGGTCATAGTGGCAGTTGGTATGGGGGACCTCAAGTGAGAAGGATGCCATTAATTAATCTGATTTTATCAGCTGGTATTCTTTTCAGTGGTAATACATTCAGTGGTATATCAAGATATACTGCATCAATTGATTTAAAATTCTTCAAACCCTTAACCTATAATACATTGCAAAATACCTATCTGTTACCAGTAGTAGACCGAGTATAATACACAAGACAACAAAATGGAATTTTGGCAGAAATGATACTAAAGTCACTAGATGGTATTTCAGTTTCATTAATAGGTAAGCAGCTAACACTTGTCATTCATAAATACCATTAAAATAAAAAACAAAAAAACAATAGGTATGGTGTTGATATTGCTGTGCAGCAAAACTATTATAAATCAACAGATATTAAATTTTTCGATTGAATAACCACAGCCTGTTCCCCAATTCAGTTTCAAAGGAATTAAAATATTATATTTTTCAGGGGATGGAAGATCTGACTCGCCAGGCTACTCTGCAAAATACACTACCTATACTATGATGGAGGAAGAATCACAAAGGATTGTTGATATGCAGCTTGTACAGGTAACTTGAAATTTGCTGTCACAAATAACTTTAGTGACTAACTTTGGTTATTTCGTGATGAAAGGCCCTTTAATACCTGTAGCATTGTCTAGTGTAACCCTTTGTTTAAAGTTCTTTGATACCTGTGAAATTTAAACATATTTGTATCAACAGATATTGTGAAATCTAGGGTTTATTCTTTTGACAGCTATTGTCTTTATGTATTATTGGATGTTACTATATTGATGTCCGATATATGGTGAGTTTCAGTACAAGCAGTGTGTCAACATATTATAGTGAAGCCCTATTGTATTTCATCAAGGGTTCAAATATAGTGAAGGTTGTTAAAACCATGGACATTTTGCTTGTCCCTTCCACTTTGTCTTCTGTTGTATTGTCAGTGACATTGATTAATCCAAAATATAAAATATATATGTCCATTTGAGAAAATGGACAGAAAAATAACCTTATTTATATCTTCATATTGCATTGATGACTGCCAGTGAAGGTTGTTAAAACCATGGACATTTTGCTTGTCCCTTCCACTTTGTCTTCTGTTGTATTGTCAGTGACATTGATTAATCCAAAATATAAAATATATATGTCCATTTGAGAACATGGACAGAAAAATAACCTTATTTATATCTTCATATTGAATTGATGACTACCAGTCTGGTCATTTCTTGTTGCTTTCTATTAAAAGGTGACAGAAACAACTTCAAGTGTTGCCATGGAAAAGGTTGGATTTAAGAGAGGTGTTGAAATCATCCTGGATCATGGTATAACAGTATCTACCATCAATCACCAAAATAATGCGAGAAGAATACCCATCAATACAACACCAGTATGATGTTTGGCATATTTGTAAAGGTATGTATATTCTGACATGCATATACAATACAATTTAGAACTAGTAAGTTATTACATATTATTTCAACGGTATGTTATATTTACCATAATCATATATTATATTGCAGGCATTAAAAAAACTATTAGTTAACAGTAGAAAAATGGGAAATGAAGATCTAACAGCATGGGTTAGAAGCATCACAAATCATTTATGGTACAGTTGTGCAACATGTGACGGTGACGGAGACGTTGAGGTTGGCTTTTATTTTCAGTTGAGTTATTTTTGGGAATTGTATATTCTTAAACATACCAAACAAAAATTTCAAAAAAAATATCACAGTAAATCAAGAGGTAGATATGGGGGGGCATTCATACCGTTATGATAGTGTGCGGGTAGGGTTGAGGTTATTTGAAGTCTATCAGTCCTGTTTCCATGCTCATGATCAGTCATCATTGGTGGGTTTTACACTCTCTTTCCCCACAAATAGTAATCTGGATGGGCAGAAATGGGACAAGACTGATTAAACAATAAACAATTTTTAATTTCACATGGTAATTATGTTCTTATGTAATTCTTATCATTTTATGATGTTAGGTACTGAAAAGAAAGTGGTTCTCAGTATTAAATCATGTAGTGAATATTCACAGCTGGATGGAAAATGGGCAATATTTTTCATGTGAACACGACAAGTTATCTGATGATGAGATGGAGCGAAAAAAATGGTTGAATGTGTCATCACCAGGTTATCAAGCCTTATATAGCATGTGTCATCACCAGGTTATCACCAGAATGTGTCATCACCAGGTTATCAAGCCTTATGTAGCATTGTTATGTAGGACATGTCTGTAGGCAACTAGTCTGTACTGACTGAAATTAGAGCAATGTTACAGTATTATTGTTATTTGTAATAATTTTTATTATTGATGTTAATACAGGGTTTTTCACATTTCTTGTGTGTTAAATTATATAAATAAATTGAAATGATAATGGTATGTCATTTTTTTGTGTTTTACAGTTCAGATTGGCAGCCATCTCTTGTCATGACAGTTTAAGATGACTGAATTTATGTTTACAGAAAGATATGTTTTACACATACAATTTGTAAACATATTTGTAAATTGTCTAGTCAAATATATTAATGTGTGACAAAATTATACAACTGATTAAAGAAAAAAGAAATAACAGTAGGCCTACTAAAAAATTATCCATTTGCTATCTTGTAACCCAGACTCATTGGTAAATCTTATTGCCTAAAAGGTAATCCAATGGTTGGCTTATAATAATGTTATATTACTGAGCATCCCACAAAGTGGTACATAGTACAATGGAAGATTCCGTATACATGTAATTACTAAGTTTCCAAACTTGTAATAATTAAACATTTGATAAGTGCAATGGAATTGTATTTTACATTCAAATTACCTATTAGTTAAACGGCCATTTGGTCCCTTTGGTTTCGGAAACTTCTTCCAATTCACACGGTTTGTTTTAAAAAATGTTGTTAGAACTCCTCTATTAATATGAGGTCCAAAATCACTGTGTTCTGTTATACATTTTTGTACTGACTCTGCCCCGCCAGGAAATCAAAAAAAGTCAACAAATGATTAAATGTGTAAAGCCAAAACCAATCACTGATGAAAAAAGCGTTTTTCTGAAGCCAAATATAAACATTAATGTTTCACACTGAACCATGGATCTGTTTCACTGAACTAATAATCCCTGTGTAAATTGATTAAATTCAGTTTCCAGTAAATGGCCATATAGCCTACATGTAGGTCTACCATAGATATTGATATAATATATATCAGGTTATATATAAAATAAATATAGATCTATAAATTATTAGCTTTCTGTTCATTAATGACAAGTATGCCCCAACAGAAATAACACTAATATTATTATATTTTGCTTATGTTGATATGACAAACAAGTGTCCAGACGACGGTGTAAAGTATACGGCTCTGGTATGAACTTACGTGTCTCGGGATCAAACTCATCAACCTTTCTTATAGACCTTCTGTCTTCATGACAACACACAAATTCATCAGACGTAGGCATAACTGAACAAGAATTACATGTGCACCAGAATGTTTTTTCTGTTCGGTATCTTTCCTCCACCATCTCGACAGAAGAAACGGTCGCTGTTTCGTCCACTCTTTTCGCTTTTTCAAATCTCATGGCATTCAGTTCTTCTTGTGAATATTCAGGCTCGAACTGATATCCCCTCACGTTCTCATATAACAACTCTTCGTCTTCTGAGGTATTATCAGAGTACTCAAAATCGTCTGTGTTTACATTCACCGTGGTAATATTTCGTGTTTGTTTCCCTTTGAGGTTCGTCACTTCCGTTTTGAATGGATTGAGGTCACTTCTAAACCGCGATGACAAGGTTTACTTAAAAATTATATTTGGAATCTATGTTAATTATTCTATTACATATGTAATATTCACTGACACCAATATTGCCCTTTAACCCCATTGATTAATTGGGGGGTTGGATGGCTGAATGGTTAGCGTGCGCGCGCTGTATCAGAAAGTCTGTCATTGAGTCGACTGGCGTGGTTTTGAATCCCCGGTTATACGTGACAAGGAGTAGGGTCGCCTCTCCAACCTCGTGGGTTTTCTCCGGGTCCTCCGGTTTCCTCCCACTGCTAAAGACCCCTATGCCCAAGCGAATTAGTGAAATAAAATTAAACCATATGTTAGTCCCGAAATGACCTAGTTTGTGTCGAGTGGACGTTAAACCCCATTTCTCTCTCTCTCCCCCATTGATTAATTGTTAAGTCAGGTGGAATGTATATATAAGTAGAGCATTACACATTTGTAATAAACATGTGCAATTTCATTAATTCTAAAATAAAAGATCGTCCATTTAGTATGCAATAACTTAATCGTTGACATGAAAAAATAAATATAAACATATGCATATGTGGGAAGAAACTGGTGACCGTGTCTATTCATTTAGGTGGTAATGTCATCGCCGCGACATCGTCACCTATGGATTATATACCGTAGAATACTTAGAATTTGTTCTGACAATATTCGAAGAATCAGTAAAATTTTGACAGAGGTATTTTTTTTCAAAGGCGCCTGTTTTGGAGAGAGAGAGAGAGAGAGAGAGAGAGAGAGAGAGAGAGAGATGGGGTTTAACGTCCACTCGACACAAACCAGGTCATTTCGGGACTAACATATGGTTTAATTTTATTTCAATAATTCGCTTGCGCGTAGGGGTCTTTTGCAGTGGGAGGAAACCGGAGGACCCGAAGAAAACCGACGAGGTTGGACAGGTGACCCCACTCCTTGTCACGTAGCAATCAAAAATCTATTTGTCCGTTGTAAAGGGAGATAACTGTGTAGATATTTCAATTTTCTGTAAATTATCGAATATTCGTTGCAATTGACAATATTAGGTTTGTATTTTATAATATTAGGTAGTATTTAGTAGTATTTGATAAGTATTTGGTAGTATCGGGTTATTATTTGCTTGATTTGGGTGATATAGGGAGGCAAATGGAACAGCCAGACATCGGTAATCACATTTGAAGTACATTTCCCACGATATATCTCACTATTTTTGAAAAAAAATCAAGTAATATGCTCATTTGGCTCCATTATGTTGTAGTATTGGGTAGTATGTGGTGATATTGGAGTGGTATTCGGGTGGTATTTGGTGGTATTTAGTATTGGGTAAATCGTCCCGCCGGAGTAACGGTGATATATTTAAAAATTCTTTTAAATCAGATAAAAATTGTGACTACTAGATGAACCTTAGCTAAAACACAATTTTTCGTACAATCAAAGGTCATAATCCAGGAAGTTGCAGTCCGATATATGCGAATATCAATCGGAACCAAGATCTATGGATCATAAACACACATTTCAAGTTTCAGAACCTTGGTATTACATACTTTTAGACTATTTACGTTCAGGGAGCCGCCATTCTGTCCGGCAGTTTCGGTCATGAGGTGTAATAGTGATATATTTAAACGGTTCTTAAAATTGAATACAAATTTTGACTTCTAGAGGGTCAGAGGCAATAATCCATGAAGTTACCGTCCGATACATGGCAATTTCGAAAGGAACCAAGATCTTTAGGAGATACAACTATATTTCAAGTTTCGTTAAAATCTGATGACCAGAGGCTGCCAGGCAGGATACGCCGACATTTTCGAGAGATGGATAGAGAACAAGCTAAAAAGAAAGTGATTTTTCCTACAATCAAGGCCATAATTCAGGAAATTACAATTCGATATGCGCAAATATCGAAAGGAACCGAGTTCTTTGGGTTATAAACTTATATTTCAAGTTTCAACAAAATCAAATAAAAATTGTGAACTCTATAGGGTCCACAACCTTGATATACCATATTTTTACGCTATTTGAGAACGAGGGGCGGCCATTTTGCCTGTCAGTTTTGGGCCGATTTTCACAAAATTCCAACTCAGTCGTCCTTAGGGTAAAACGGTGATAAACTAAAACGTTTTTTTAAATCGGATAAAAATTAAGACCTCTATAGGGTACACAAGCTAAAAACGCGATTTTTCCTACAATCAAGGCCCATAATTCAGGAAATTACAATTCGATATGCGCAAATATCAAAAGAAATCAAGATCTTTGGGTTATAAACATACATTTCAAGTTTCAACAAAATCGGATCAAAATTGTGGCCTCTAGAGTGTCCACAAACTAAAAACTTGATTTTTCGTACAATCAGGGGCCATAATCCATGAAGTTATAGTCCGATACATGCCAATATCGAAAGGAACCAAGATCTGAGGGATTTAAGCTATATTTAAAGTTAGACCTGTAGAGTGTCCACAAACAAATTGTGGACGGATGTCCGGACGGACGGACGGACAAACAGGGGCGACGACAATATACGTCCACATAAAAATGTGGGCTTATAAAAATTGTGACCTGTAGAGTGTCCACAAACAAAATATTATGTATGACCAGGTAGTATTTAACACAGCCATTCACCCAGTATAAGGAAATAGACTTACACCATAAATGGGCACTCAAGATGGATTATCTAAAGTGAGTTAACAATAGTCAGCTATGACAGATATAATAGACAATTAGTAGTAATGAGATAATCCATCTATAAACATTACGTACATAATCAAGGCCCAAAAAGTCAACGTAGTAAATGAATGAATGGATGTCACTTAAATACTACCCCTTAACAACTATGAAATATTATTAAGTGTAAATATATATAATTACTATTCATTGTTTATTGTTACCAAGTAACCTCTAGTATATTAGAGGAAGATTGTAGATCATAGGTAGTTAACCACAGGCAGGCAAAGGATATACTGAAGGGCAGGTTATTTCTTAGATGCTGTTCCTTATTAAGTTACCTAGCCTGTGGATCAGTATTGTATATATATATATATTATTACTGTTTAAGTATTGTTACAGAATATAAGATTATACCAAGAAGAAAGAGTTATTGAATTATTGTATGTTCAATCTCACACCCCCAACTAGATTGAACATATAACCCATCGTCGAAGGTTGGACTATAAGCAGGTAAATAAACCCCGGATGATATATGGAGATTGCCAATTGATCAACGGAATCTCACAAACCAAGCGAGTGTTCTTCTTTGTGTCTACACCCTAGAAAAGAAAGCTGATATTTTACTGATTTTTCTTCTTTTCAACTAAACAAAGAATGATGGAGAGTTGTAACAACCATGCTACATATTTACAAAAATTCGCAGGTTATGAACAAAAGGACCCTATGGCTAGATTCATTTGAAAGTTATTGTGTTCTTCAAAACTGGGAAGAGGACAAATATAAAGTAGCAGGCCTTAGATTAGCTATGAAAGACAATGCCACTGTATGGTTAAAATGTCTGCCAGAAAGAAACAAGAAGTGACTATAAATCAGTGAAAAGTGCTTTTATAGAACAATACTGTACAGAAGTGGATGATGGTAAAGAAGTGCTTAGGCTAATTACACAGAGAAAACAACAACCAGGAGAATCTGTGGATGATTACCTTACAGAAATGAAAAGACTTCTTTTAATGAGATCCAAATATTTTTCAGAGGACTGGACAGCAAAAATTATGAGAAATGGACTGCAACCAGAATTACAAAAATGGGTTGCGTATAAAGACAAGTCTCATTCAGTAATGGAAGTCGAAAAATGTGCAAAATTTACAGAAAGTATATGTTATTATTATGCAAGGGAAGAAAACAGTGAAAAATCAGAACTTCATCAAAACGAATAATCAAAACTCGAGGAGGTCATGAATAACTATTATGCACTGTTGAATCAAGGCAACCATGAATATGAACAAGTTTCAAGACATTATATGGAGTATGAACAAAGCCCAAACAATAGAATGGATTATAATGAATACAAATCAAGGCTAGCAGAAGGTAGGTGTGATTACAATTATCATAGTGGCTATTCATCTCATCACAACTATAGGATTTTCAAAATTCACACATGGATTTGTGTCCCATTTATGTATCAGATAACACTAACCATGATAGTGCTAGGAAACGTCCTCAAAAATATAATAACAGACATAGAAATGTTACACATTACAACAAACTTCAATACAAAAGTAAAAAAAAATATCAACTATAAACAACCAAATAATACAGAATTACAAAATAGTCCGTTAATTAGAAATAGGTATTGTGACGGAAACACTCAGTCCAAAAAGAAACAAAGTCACAAAAATATCATCGATTTATCAATTAATGTCGTAAATGCGGAGCAAAATAGTTCCATATCAGTAATGTTAGGGAAAATA